TCCCCATTCTAATTACTTCTACGAGCGTAATAATACCTAAGAAAAGACGAAAGCCGTCCTGTCCTCCCCCTCCCCCACCTCCCCCTACCCCACCTTCCCCACCTCCCCCTCCCCCACCTCCCCCTCCCCCACCTCCCCCACCTCCTCCTCCGTAGCATGACTCACTCATTGCGGCGCGGGATCGGCTGCGGCAAAAGAAACACCGCGAATTGGCTTCCTCTCTCAAGCGGAGAAGAGGTGCTACATAATTGATGGAGGGACCCAAGCGCATTAGAGAGTAGTCCGCAGCGTACCAGTCGCGGAACGCTGTGCGGAGCGGAGTAGCTGTGTTATGTGTACGGCATGGGACGCAGAGCAAAGACGGCGGGGACACGAAAACACGTGTATATATATATATATGTGGGTCGCTTAGCAAAAGATGGAGCAATAAACTCATTATGTAACACCGCTATCATCTCTACCACACCCAATGTATTCCCCATGGTAGCTACAGAAAGACTTTATGTGGTTACCAGCCGTATTGCCGCATGCATGTTGCATTAGCAGTACTTATTAGCAGTCCGTAAATCACCTGTTATGTAAATCTGCTGTTACATGAGATCGTTCAACGGACAATTTTTACGGCGCAGTAGGAGAAAATCGAATCTTGGAGCCGCTACAGAGAAACAGTATTAAACTTTAAATATTTAGAGCGAAATTCTATCCCAAACATTCATCAAGTTTCACAATTTCGCACAACTGAATACAGCGATTATGAGGGGAATCGCATTATTATATACAACATTCGGCAGTACGAAAAATTAAATAATTAATTATGTAAGTTGTAAACACGCACACACTATGCATAACCTAACAGCGGATCACGCCGGCTGCATGCGACGACGTATTGGCTTGTTAGCCACATAAAAAAACATTAACAATAAAGTTGATTATTTTTACTTGGTAAAACCGGCACTAAATTATATGCCACCAATGGGGGGCTCTCCTTCTCTATCTCTCTACTGTAGTAGAGCAGATCCAACTCTGTGAAGGCACGTTATGCGCATTAAAAATATATATAATTACTCTTCGCGTTTTTCTTCATTTGTAATAGACTAGTATCCATGCATAGAAAATTGGCTGTACGCAGTGTGTTCCCATCGACGCCAAACATTCTCCGACTCAAACCCCGACGAAATTAACTTAAACACGTGAATGGATCTTCCAAGTCGAAAGGGTTACAATGCTGCAATTTGCGCAACGAGCATTCGGATACTGAGGCAATACTCGGTGGTTACTCATGATCACGTGTTGCTAACACCCGCCAAAATTCACGCAAGACTACAACCACAGGCACTTGGAACGTTTCAAGAATAAAATAATGATATATATTATTAAATTTTAATTTATTATCAAAACGTTCCAAGTGTCGGTGACCAAAACCGGAAAACCCCCGTTCCGAAGGGGACGCCTTTTAGGGGGAGGGGCGTAAGAGTGGGAGTGGCATGTTTATTTACTCGGCACTTTGAGACCGGGCCCACCGGGAGAGAGCTGCTAATGAGACTGCCAGTTATCGCCGGCAACCATGTGGCTGCTCCAGGAACTCTCCCAGCTGAGGGAACTCTCCCTCCCTCTTTAGATAGATAGATAGATAGATAGATAGAAGATAGATAGATAGATAGATAGATAGCTAGATAGATAGATAGATAGAGAGAGAGAAAGAGAGAGAAAGAGAGAGAGAAAGAGAGAGAGAGACACACACACACGCAGAGAAACAGAGACAGATAGACAGACAGACAGACACACAGAGAGAGAAAGGAATCGTTTCGGGGCTGGGGACGACGACAAACACGAGAATAACCAGCGACATCTGATCGAAATGTTATTGCGTGCATTGAATGCAATTACTGCGATATTGACAAATCTGTCATAACAATTAGGCAGAGGCACGAAGGTCGATTCATCGCGTTAAAACGCGTCCTTTGTGCCCAGTTACTAATTACATTTTCCCTAGATGCACGCGATGCGAAAATATTGCCTAGGAGTGTGATGCAATTAGGTATTGCTAGGCGGTACGTAATTGTTGAAAATGCACTTCCCCCGCTCTGCTGCCCGTTACACACATGGTCTTTACAGAGCACGTATACTATATCATATACGTATATATGAATATACGCTTATATAGGTACGTATATATACGTATATATATGATATACGTGCTCTGGTCTTTGCTATCGCTCTCCTCCCCCACCGCCATCTACCGACTCCGCTGCGAGTTACCTACGTCTTTTCTCTATGCATTCTTACATTTTATCACGTATGGTGTTTACGCATTGCAGAAAGCTTGGTCTACTTCGCACTCGCGCATGTATTATTTCTTGTTAGAGTATCTGTATCACACCAGAATCTTTTTCACGAGTTACCTTTTCCCGGTGAGATTTTTTTCTCTCTCTGTCTCTTCTAAACATGAATCTACTGACTTCAAATTAACCCCCAAAGATGCTACATGTAATTAAGGTGTAGACAATTGGGGCATTCGCCACTCTCCCCACCTACTTCGCGTAAATTATTTCTCGAAAATCAACGGTGACCGAATTATAAAACTCAGATTGTACGAATTCATTAGTCATGCCCGAGACGCCAGGGTGGCGCCTGTTAGAACGACGGGGTGCGCACAACGCTCTCTTTCTCTCTCTTCCCCTTCTCTCTCTCTCTCTCTCTCTCTCTCTCTCTCTCTCTCTCTCTCTCTCTCTCTCTCTCTCTCTCT